TTCATGTTAATAAAAATCACGAAGATATTGCCCAAACTGAAACAAAAATCCCGGTTTTAATAGAGAAGATGGACTATAAGGCGTTTTTGATCAGCATACATCGAATCAAATCGACAACATAATATTCAGAATAGAGTCCACAGCTGAACATAGGCCTCCCCCACAGATTGCCACGAAGCACGATCCTGAGCCTGCGTCCATCGTCTTCTCACACATTTTTAGAGGTGGCACTACATCTAGTAGGGGGGACCCCCTACTAGATGTAGTGCGATGGCCAGTACGAGGCTGCCACTCAAGAATCTTTCTTTCCCATCGTTTATCGGTTCTACGAACTATATGACCGCTCCATCAAAATCGTTTATTCATCGAAATAAGAAAACTACATTTTATTTATCGATAGTCATTTTTTTAATCTTCCACCGTTTCGTTATGAGGTTCTTCTAACGGAGGAGAAACAGGCGAAAGAAACTCCGCAGGTATCCTCTTTTTTGTCATTTTTTTCTTATCAAAATTACAATATAGAACGGTTTTTTTTCTTTCTTTTCGAAATAGCTTGAGAACGATCAACTCATTCCCAGGGGTTATTGTCATTAATGTATTCATTTATATTATAATAACCCTTTTTATAAAGTTTTTCTTTAATAAATTTCTTAAACCTGTTGATAGGCAGGCTTTGCGCATTTACTGGGATTTTGTTGTATAAACGTATACATCGCCCCATGAACGAGTTACTTACTCTAAGGAGTTTAGCAAAGGGCGTTACAAGCTTGTCTTTGTTCCTAGTACAGTTGAATGTCGCAACTTGAGCTTACTAATCTTCCGAGCAATGTATCCTTCTTCTACTGCAGATGTCTTTATCGCGAACTCTATCACGGAGAGAAATACCGAACATGTAATATTGAGTACATTTTATATGGGAAGGGATTCTAATTCTAGTTCGCAATAAATTAATCTTAAAAAATACTTACCGATAGACCTGTGCGAGTTTTTCGCACAATATCGTGATAGCACATTAGGTAACAAATAAAAAAGATCATAGGTATCACTCAAAAAGATAAATAAAAAAAAAATTGTTTTAATAAATTGTGACCATGTTACTGAATCCTATGATATTACATACGTGACATCTTCTACTTTTTTACTTCTTCTTGTGTAAAGTGTTTCACCACTGCCCCACCAGGTGTTTAAGTGTCAATGTTTTATACATTAACATATTACATAAATACAATATCCAACATTAAAATGTAAAACTGGCTATATTAAAATATACCTGATAAACACAATACCTCAGTCATAGTTTGTTCAATTTCGCGCAATGAAACATTGAATGAATATCGAAGTTATTAGGCTATAATTTGTTTACAATAAAAAAATGCGAGCTTTATAAATATTGCTCTATGTTGAAATTAAGTCCTGAGCGAAGCGATTAATTAATAAATGTTTTAAATATATTGTGAGTGTATAAAAATAAACTATGAATGTGTGCAACATAAAATAGTTTGATAGATATGTAAACACTATGTTAATACACCACTACACACAATATTTCTTGGTATACATACATATATCCTTATGCATTATTACTACGATTGAGACGAGGTGATATTTTAAATGTTATATTTCAATACAAAATATTTAATTCTTCTATAAATATATACGTACATAAATTTCTATATATACTAACTTTAGCAACATATTATCTGATTCTTTACTGATTGTTTAACGTTCAATTTCGATTTATAGAAGTTTCGAATATTTTACAACATAATCATGGCAATAGCAACGGCACGAACACGTTAATTTTATAAAATCACCCTAGTGCATAGTTCTAAGTTGAACATTTTTGCTTTCTAACTTTAGTTCGTTGAAGGGATACATTTTCATTAACTTTCAAAGCGACAAACTTTACGTTACATTCTATGCGGAAAACAGTAACGGCGCGCTGCAACAATGTTTACAATCTAATTAAAAATAATGAAAACTCCCGCCACTACGCGAATATTATTACGGCGTTGCGTTGAGCAGACGTTTAAGAGAAACACTTTCCAATCCGAGGAGCGACAACACGGCGACAATATACAAATAAGGGTGGGTTTTATTAAAATCTCCCGGGGCCGTTAAAACTGCATAAAATCGCCCGGGATTCGTTTATAGCGAGTCGGCTGTTCCAGGCACGGCTTCCATAAATATAATTAGATTAGTATTAACAGGACTGCATTGCAGTGCGAAGCGCCCGGGGCCAGAAATGTTTACATCAGCTAGTCAACGACGTTATTCCTTGTTTCAACAACGCCCCGTTTTAAAACTGATAACAGTGTGAACGCGACGCTCCGTTGTAGCGATGGAATTCTGTTTATTTCAAATCAAATTTATCTTCATTCAAATAGACGCTTGCGCGTTCTTATTAATCGTCAAATTTTACATAAAAATTATATATTATATAGGTTTGCAGGTATTTATATATTCTGTATTTTGTAGGTATACATATAGGTGGGTAACCACCGGTTCGGAAAGCAGTTTCTGCTGAGAGAGACCGGCAAGAAACTCAACAGTTGCTCTTTTTCAAAAATATCAGTTTACAATATAACATACAGGTATAATCAAATAGTCTTATTCTAGCCTACGTGAGTATCAACAGTATTAGCTCCAAACATTGGCATCGTAGATATATTCCGCAATATAAGCTTTAACCATAAGTTGACTTTTAATATTACGTTTAAATTGATCCAGATTTAGACTTAACATCGACTGTGTCATCAATTTTATTATACATTTGTTCATAATTTACGAAATCAATAATTAAAACGCAAGTTTTAACTATTGCCGTTTATGAACAGAATGGATTGCTTCGTTTCATTAAAGAAATACATTTTATTTTCATACCAATAATTTGACGACCCGAATGGCGTAGTGGGTAGTGTTCTGCGTCAGTAGCCTTCTGCGTCAGAGGGTGTGGGTTCGATCCCCACTACTTGAAAAATATTGTGTGATGAACATAGTGTTTTTCCAGTGTCTGGGTGCTTATATATCTATAATATGTATTTATTTACAAAAGAAAAGTATGTTTAAGTATGTTTATCAGTTACCTAGTACTCATAGTACAAGCTTTGCTTAGTTTGGGACTAGAAAAAAAAAAATTATGATTATACATACATTGTTATCTCTCACACAAGGTTAGGTAATAAATATCCAATTTTCAGGATCACATCTTTTTATATCTTCTGCAACATGATGACAGTCACGGTGAACTTTAATATATAAATTATGTGTGACTTTGTAATAATAATAATAATTAATACCTCATCTGTAATAATTTTTAAAACTTTGCTTTCAGTCTGTCTGTCCGTCTGTCACCAGGCTATATATCATGAACACTTGAAATTTTCACAGATGATGTATTTCTATTGCTATAACAACAAATACTAAAAATAGAATAAAAAATCATTTAACTGGGTCTGCCATACAACAGACATAATTTTTTTGCCGTTTTCGCATATAGGAACTCTTCGTGCGTGAGTCCGACTCGCACTTGGCCAATTTCGTTTAACATTTCCCATAAAAAATATATTATTTCGGAAATATGTCTTTTGTTGGAGTGTCGGAACGCCATAACTTCCATAATTCTTCATAAAATTTAATGATCCATACACCATTTTAAAACTTAGAGGGATGAAATTAATGGTTTTAAATTATTTTTCACAATAAGGTGGTACCAATCATAGATAAATATTAATTATAAATTTGTCACGTATTAACGAGTTAAAGTAGTTTATTTTTATAATGAGCAAACGAGCTTGAGTACAGGCGATCTATAAAAAATACAGGAAATTAAGGTACACGTTGATAACTATTAACTGACCAAAATTAAAACGCATAAAATCAACAAATATACAGTCACACTCTTATATCTTTATCAGGCTAAATTAAGAAGAATTATTACGGAAATTAAATGAACTAAAATCTAACTTCTTATGTACAAAGGACATCATAAATGAACTCTGTGTAATATATGACGAGAGTGACGATCAAATGTCACGCTTAGAACATATTATTTTAGAAGTAATATGTCGGTTGCCTTAAAAATAAGAATGTATTCGCTGTTGCTGGGACTGAGACTAGATACCACAATTCAATAATGAGTTTGATCTATTCACAAGATTAGATGATTGGTAGCTAATACATATATAATATTAATAAAAGCCGAGTCACCCATCTGTAACCTAATCACTAGTTATCACTACGTGATGCGATACGTTAATTATACCAGCGATAATGTTAACAGATAATAGTTTTAAACTGTGTAATGAGACTTCCTTCAAGTTTCTAAAAACAAAAGTAGCATAAGTGAAAAATATTTTCTTTAAGTAATTTCTTGTGCCCTCAAGATACATTTTAATACGTTTAATAAACCTGTAACGATGGGTAAAATGATAGATAGGTTTACCTTTTCAACTTACAGCTTAATCTATTTTGATTTAGGCAAATTATGCACAAATACCCTTTATATCGTCTAAAACGAAAAAAGCAAACTCTTTTTATTAAATTTTGAACTAAGGTAATAAAAATCCAAACAGTGTTTTACAGACGTAAACAGTAATTAGATGTGAAATCGAAATGAATTCCAGTTTTCATCGAAAATATTTTAAATGTTGATAATTATTTTTTTATAATTCGTTTCCACAAGTATCAGAGATAAAAAGAGTTATTTTTACGTACATACTCGTACCTTCGAAAATATCTGATTTGATATTGATCTTACACTCAACGTCGGCATCTTAAGTTGATTGCGAAAATATTACATTTTTACTTATTTGTATTTAAATAAAAAAAACAAGCGATAAATACACATTTATAGTCGGCATGCAAAGTATTCAAGATCTTTGTTTCAATAGGAATATTAACTGTTTACCAAATTTAGAATAATAATACTTCTATTGCAAAAAACACCACGTTTCTCGTCACATTTATCACAGTTTCCACTTAACAAACATTTTCTTTTAAAAAGTGGCCGCGCCGAATATGAAATTGCCTGGTTCATTGGGATCATCGGAGGTAAAGTACTGGTTCCATAACTCTTGGAACTCCGCCCAGCTCACCGATGGCTTTCCTTGTGACATCACTTGGAATGCCGCCTCCGCGTCTTCCTTCATCAAACCGAAAGACTCGTAGACCGATGAGAACTCCTCGCTGTCTATGGCACCATCCCCACCAGCGTCTTCCAACTGGAACATGAACTTGCAGTACTGTTTCTGCCAATCAAACTCCGAGCCAGGGTTGTCAGCGAACGACTCCCACATCGAGACCCATTCTTCTGCAGTCACTGCGCCGTCCTCATCAGCATCGGCAGCTCCCTGCAGACCTTCCCATATCTGCAGCAAAGAGTCCAAAGTCTCCTTATATTTTTGGTCGCTAGGAACCCAGCCTCGTAGTTCTGCAATGTTCTTCGCTGCCAACTCAAAGTCGTTCCTCTCGATGCTCCCACTCGAATCGATGTCGAAGAAAATATTGAAAAGGTGCAGGAGTTTTTGCTTCCGGAACTCGGATATCATTTTTTTTTAATATATGTTGCACGCAAGACTAATGAGCAAATTTAACTAACGATTGTTAGACGTTACCATCGGCGAAGCAGATAAAAACCGATAGGATATATATATATATATAGATAAATTATACCGATAATTCAACAGTCTTATCGGAATGAGGTGATACTAACAAAAGTAAATAATACTTTCATTTATCGCCTCTCAGTGGGCACATCTTCTAAAACCTCCGTTTTCGTTGTTGCACGAATGGGCAGGCTCGTCCGGGTAAGTACTACGACCTCACAGAAGACCGGCGTAAAGTGGAAGTATAATACTTTCGCGTTTCGTCTGGTGAGTGAGTTTGCCGGAGCCCAATTTTCAAAAGGTTGTCAACGCATCTGGATCGTCGGGTGTAGCAGATGTCCATGGGCGGCGGTATCCACTTAACATCAGTGAATCCCGCTCGCTTGGCAACTTTTCACATAGAAAAACACGTTTCACGAGTCTATGTCTAAAAGGACAAAAAAGAAGTGGCGCCAAGCATTGCTAAAAACCAAAAATAATACATACATAGTTCTCAATATTTTTAAGTTAAGTTCATTGGCTAGAGCGTATGAACGGGCAACGCAGAAGAAGTATGTTCGAGTCCTAACCGCACGGACATCTTATCTACTAAACTCACATTTAATATTATCTCAAATTCAAAATACTAGTTTCCAGTGGTTCCTTAACTACTTTTCAAATTTAGTTTAAAACTATAATAATAATATACTTTATTGTACACCAAAAAATCAAAATGAAAAAGTACAAAAAACAAAATATTTAACAAAATATTGGTCATCAAAAGGCGGCCTTATTGCTACACAGTAATTTCTTCCAGGCAACCTCAAAAATTTACCAAAAGGAATTGTTGATGGTACATGAAGGAAAAAATAACAATAATAGTAAAAAGAAAGTAGCAATTAAAATAATAAGAAAAACATACTTCAAGTGAGTGATCATAGAGTTAAGGGTGAAATTAAAAGGGGTATAGATAGACGTTGAAAGATAGAGAGGAGCTAGACAGACAGACAGAACAATATGGATTGAAACAATAAAGACGATAATCACAAAATTAATGTATGCTAATTACAGAAAAACTATATATTTTTTAAAACGTCGGAATAACGGAAACGAATTAAGAGCCGTGATAGCTCAGTATCAGGACGTTCACCTTTATTTCAATATACCCGAGCAACCTGAGTTCGATCCCCGGCACCTATAATATATCTATAGTACCCGGTGCATAACATTTAGTGTCGTGAGTAGCTCTAGGTGACGATCGTTCACCACCAGGTATTCTTTAGGTCTTCAAACTCGTGTTTAAAAACCTGTGAAACCTTCTTATTTAATAAGAGCTAATTTACTTACTCCATAGTCTCACCAATTTAATTTGAGCTTAGCTGCGGATTAATATTAATGTATCCATTGTCTTTACATACTATTATTTCATAAATTAATGTGATTTATTTTTATGAAGTTCCATTTACGTACAATTAAAGGATTTTAGAAAATTTGCTTTAATTCATTGGAAATATCTTTATTTATAACAGCACAGCACAAAAGGTAATTTTCTTACGAAACATAAATATTTTTCAATCAAAATATACTTTATTATCAATTAAATTAAGAGAGGAAAACCGATGAACATAAAAAAGGAACTTAATTTTTCATTAATTCAACACCAATAGCATTCACCTCATCTATACGATTTCAAGAGCACCAAATATCCATACCAACATTATAAATGCGAAAGTAACTCTATCTCTCGCTTTCACTCCAAAACTACTGAACCGGTTTAAATGAAATTTGGTACACAGATAGTCTAGAGCCTAAAAAAAGACATAGCTTACTTTTTAATTGGAAAAAAGTGTTGTAAAGCGTTGAAAGATATTCGTATAAGGGCTTCAACGCGAGTAAAGCCGCGGGACAAAGCTAGTATGTAATGAAATTATTAAAATTTTCGTGAGACATTAACGTAATAATAGGACGGCTGAACTTACGTAAAACCGGTGTATGTACCGACTAGTTTCGGACTCATCGGAGGGTGAATCAGGGTAATGTCTCACGAAAATTTTAATAATTCTATAGCACCAAATATACATAATGATTAGAAACTAGACTTCCCGAAGATGAAATTGCCCGGGGCCTTTGGGTCCTCCGTCACGAAATACTCCCTCCACAGCGCTTGGAAGTCGCTCCAGGATATCTCGGACTTGCCACCTGACATCTTCTGGAAAGCGGAGGCAGCTTCACTCTTAGGCAGGCCGAAGGACTCGAAGACGGTGGAGAACTCCTCGCTGTCTATGGCGCCGTCGCCACTAGCATCCTCGAGCTGGTAAATGAACTTGCAGTACTGGTTCTGCCAGTCTGCAGCCGCGGACGGGTTCTTGGCGTATTCCTCCCACATGTTGACCCACTCCTCGGCTGTCACCTGCCCATCCTTGTCGGAGTCCGCCACGCTCTGCAGGCCGTCCCAGATCTTGAGCAGAGAGTCCAACGTCTCCTTGTATTTGGCGTCACCTTGCTTCCATCCCCGCATCTTCGATATCTGCTCCGCCGCTAGCTCAAAGTCCTTCTTGTCTATGGAGCCACTTTTGTTGCTGTCGAAGAACTGGTTGAACAAGTACATAAGCTTCTTCTTCCTGAAGTCGGACACCATTTTGAATGCGATCTACTGAGTATTTGTTTACGTCTGTTTCTCGTTGTCGCTTATATAGTGTTCTCATTAGTAGCAGAGGCTGATAATCATTATCACTTTATCGCTTAGCAAATCTTTGTCGTGCGACAGAGATGACGTCTGTCACTTATCGTTTCGCAATATATCTGCAATGCAGCGAAAGTGATTCCAGTACAGATCAATTAATAGATAGAATGCATGGAGTTAAAAAAATAATATATTTATGTTTTTGAATGGATGCCATTAAGTACTAATGTATTTGATGAAATAGAGGAAAAGATCTTATTTGTATTATAAATCCTGATTTATAACTTTAGAACCGATAAAAAGTAACTCTCTTCAGATTTAGTAAAAACCCTTTAAAATAACCTACAGGATTGTACTAATTTATAGTCTTACATATCTGTTTACTTGGAGCATATAATCTGTTGAAATATTAAAAGTATATTGTCTATTTTTATATATTTCTTGTCTTCGTGTTATTAAGATAACGATAATGAAGTAGACTAAAACATTGTAATATTTTCCTATCACCCGTCACAAATAACAATTACTCTTATATAATGATCTGTCAACCAAGTAGTTTGTATGACATATTTACTGCATATCATTGACTCATTACGTTTTTACATAAATCGTAAGTGTCACCACAATCGTCATTCTTCGTTAGGTAATCATTTGAATACAACACAAATGGATCTGCTTTACGTTTCTTAAAATAACTGCAAAGCACGTGCTTGTTAATTCTTTCAAGAATTATGAAGAAGTGATGACTTTGGGAGGGTCCCGATTCTCTTACTAATATAACGTTTTTGTAAATCATTAAGTGTTTATTATCATGTGTGTATTAAGTGTAAAATATGTAGAAAAAGTGCGAAAAGATTGTCGCCGCTGTGGGAATCGAACCCACGTCTTCGGCATTCGCGGCCTGACTCTCTAGCCACTGAGCTAAACGGCTGATTGCCACACCGACGAAAATCTTAACGTATTCTTCTACATTGTTTTTTCTACATATTTTAATGTTCAATCTTAAGTGCAAAGATTAGCACTATAAACAATTTAAAAATCATTAAGTTATTCCTTGTTGAGGACTCGATGGCGCAGTTGCTAAGCTATTGGCCGCCAGGGATCGTGGATTCGATTTCCACACGGGACAAGACGTGTTTGTGAGGCCCAACAGATTATGCCCGATCTAGGTGTTTGTTTATAAGGAGGGTTCACATCTAGCAGGCGGCCGGTCGTAAAACACGTCAACACCCACACCTAAATGTTATAAGAGGAGGAGGATAATGATGTTTCCTTGTAATTATTCAGTACTAGAGAAGTAATAAATCAGTTGAACATTTTAACTATTTATTTTTAGGGTTTTTGGAAACCCCTCTACCGTTAATGTTAAAATCTTCGAGACTGCTATCAGACATCTGCCCGGCTTCGTATCGCGGAGTCAGTGCCAAAGGTGTTGATCATCTGATCAACATATGTGGCACTGACTTACGTTAGGCGTTAAGGTTTTCGTCGCCGTGGCTATCAGCCGTTTAGCTGTGGCTAGAGCGTCAGGCCGCGAATGCCGAAGACGTGGGTTCGATTCCCACAGCGGCGACAATCTTTTCGTACTTTTTCTACATGTTTTAATGTTCAATCTTAAGTGCAGAGATTAGCACTATAAAAAAACTTTAAAATATATAAGGTTTGTAAAATTTTGACCTGTCTACCATTTTGTTTGTTTCTCAGGACAATCTTTGACATAGTTCATTTTCCGAATTGGATCCGACCCACTCATATAATTTTCCGATAGAGAATAATTGGGTGAGTAATTTTAGCTATTTACAATGATTAATAGATTAATGCTGTTTTTAGATAAACAATTAGGACATTGGGCGCTTAATCACATCGACTCAATTGATAGAAGACACAGGTACGAATCCTGGCAGTGCCAAAAAAATTTCTACGATGCATGTATTAAAGATGCATTTATTAAAGCCAAATTATGAGTTTCAGTGAGTGCAGCGAACGAACACTAGCTACTTTGTTAAATAAATAATCATTTTTCTTTTTTCCTTTTGCTTTCGCGTTTTATATTGGTTTTGATTGCTGAAGTTTCTAGCACTTATTCCATGGTCACACTGACATATTTAACGTCCTAATGTCATGGTTAATTTTGACTACCTTGGCAACCTTTCAATACTTTATTTACATATTTTGATAGGACAGTTTCGTATTATATGAATCAAATTCCTCGTGTTTCTAAAGCTGTACTTTCCTGAAAGTAAACTGAGATACAAACGTGATTGATTTGCAAGTTTTTCCTTTTGCGTGGCCTTTATAACTTATCCTACAAGTTGGTTAAATGTGTTGCCCATAAATTATATAACAAATATAGTTTCTTGCACTCAAAATATATTAATTGAAATAAAATAAATATAAAAAATAAGTTTTCAAAAGAAACAATTTCAGATCTTCGTTTATCTACTAATCCCATAATTTATATGACCACCGAATTGGTGTACTGAATGGTGAACCTTTCGCTTGTTTATAAGTAAATAATATTATTTACTTATTTACAAAATAAAAAGTTTGTTTATCATTTACTTAGTACCCAGTACAAGCTATATTTAGTTTGGGACTTGATAACTTTGTGTAAAAATATATCCTTAATTATATATAGCCGCTAATTTCGTATAACGGCGAGTTAAAAACACTTTCTATCCAATAAAAAAAACATTTTAATTGTGCAAGCATAAACTTTATTACACGCCGTTTGAACAAACGATCAATTTAACTTCAAATAAATTCAATAACAAGATCAAGACGGAGGCGACGTGAAAAGGGAGTTACCAGGCGCATTGACGTCGTCCGCCGCGAAATACTCCTTCCACAGCACCTGGAACTCCGCCCACGAGATAGCCGGCTTGCCCCCCGACATTTTCTCGAACAGGGCTTCGGCGCCGTTCCTCTTGAAGCCCCACGCCTCGTAAGCCTTCACGAACTCGCCGCTGTCTATGGTGCCGTCGCCACCGGTGTCGAGGAGTTGGAATGTGAACTTGCAGTAAACGCTCTGCCACTCCTGAGCCGCCGACGGATTCTTCGCGTAAGCATCCCACAGCGCGACCCATTCCTCGGCGGAGACGTGGCCGTCCTTGTTAGAGTCCGCTTGGCTGGCGATTCCTTCCCATATCTTCAAAAGTGTGCTTAGATACTCCTTGCGCTTCCCTTCGTCGACCTTACCGTTCGCCTTAGCTATCTCCTCAGCAGCGATCTCGAAGTCTTTCTTCTCTATCGTTCCGCTCGAGTCCCTGTCGAACGAGTTGAACACCTCCATGTATTTCTTTCTACGGAACTCGGAAACCATTTTTCTCTGCTAGCGTACTGTCTGTGCGGTGGTCGCTTAATCCTGGACGCTTTTATAGTTTGTCCGGAGTATGTCCATTAAGATAATTTCTTATCTGACGTCTGTTTAAATCTCCGCTATTAAGCGATGATGCCATGCAGGGATTATTTCTAAGGATTTCATAAACTGCGTTACGATTTTTGCAACTGCATCCAAGGCCGAAAAATATATAATATGTTTTTGATAAATAAAAAAATGATAATGTTTATTATTTCTAAAGTTCGAACGCAGAGAAGAATTCTCTCGTTACAAATATTCATCGTTGAAAGTTCTTTAAGAGGTATTTTAAACTGTAAAGAATACATAACAGATGGCGCGCTTGGCGCTTACCAAATATGCAATAAAGAACATAGATGCATTTAAAAATTTTCGCACGGCCTTTAAGCTTAGTTAGCGAAGCATCTGGGCGTGATACCGTAAGACATCGCAGGATCGAACCCAGCAGTGTAAAAAGTTTTTGTTCATTTTTTTCAAAAAATCACATTTTTAACTTTACGAACAAATCGTGTCGACTACTCTAGGGTAAGTTGCCAAGAAACGAGCTCAGTAACATTGTAGAAACCCATTTTTTGTTACCACAACATCATGTTCATCATGGGTTTAAGGGTTTCCTATTAAACATCAAGAGAGCCGGCCCCAACTACAATCTATATGATTAACGGACCATCGTTCCCCGTCGTAAATATATGTTACGTATCATCGTAAACCGTGCGAGCGGTAAAGTTCCAACAACGTATAATAGAATACTTAAGTGGGCATACTGCGGCGTCTTCGCTCCTGCCATGTGACAGATATAGCGCATCTGTCATGGTCGCCTGCACGCCCACCGCGTCTGAGACGCACGAAACTATGGATACGGCACACCACACTAAAAACTAAAGATAAGTACGTCGACAAGCTATCATTGATCTTGTATTGGTATAACAACAGAAAAACTTAGGATCCACTTTTATTGAACTTGAATGTGGACCAGACAATTCTTGTTCGGATATAGAATTGCGCTTTATTCCAAATTAAAGCAAGACACAAGTGGCAAAGAAGAGCGAATCACGTCTAATTTAAAAGATCTGATACCTCATTAATACGCTAATTTAAGAACAGCAACCTAACGTGTAAAAAACCTTTTTAATTCCATATGTTCTTCCTATGGAATTAAAAATGTTTTTAGCCGACGTAAGCAAAATATACCAAATTAGGTTTAAATTACTATTTCCGCCACATAAATAGAAATTGCAAAATGGATTACATTATCAATTTTGATAATCAGTAAATACTGTAAAAACTACGCAAATAAAAGTGATAACGGCAGAACCACAACGATAAAACATCACTCATGTAATCTTTCATTTCGTAAAAATCATGGTTTGTAGTTAGAGTATGTTGTTTTTCGTGTATACAGTTTTGCCCATTAAAATTACCTATCTTTATAGTCGCCCACATTTTAGGACGTTAAAGGTTTTTTTACGTGAAAAGTTGCCTAGCGAGCAGACGGTTCACCTGATGTTAAGTGAATACCCCCGCCCGTGGACATCTGCTACACCCAACGGTTCCAGATGCGTTGACAACCTTATGAAAATTGGGCTATAATCACTTTTAGGAGAGACATGTCAACAACAACTACATTATGTACTCGTTTGGAATCCGAGAATCCTGAAAATTGAATTGAACTAATTACAAACACATTATGACACGTATAACCGCCGATTGCCCTTGATTTTGATTTTATAAAGGCAGAATTAAATCCAATGAACCTAACGGACGATCCAGACTGAATCAAGAAAGAATTAAGTGTGGTCAGTACTGTTAAAGAAAATTATTAACGAATTGAAGTTGTGAACGTCTACTTTCGTGGATTCGTTCGTAAAAAGTTGGTCGAGTTTATTTAAGCCATATGAATTCATGTCGAAGTATTACACCTCACTAAAATCGATTAAATAAAAAAAATCCTGTTTCCACTACTAGAAAAGGTTACTTCCACTATTTCCTTTGTAAACTTAAAAATAAGATAAGTCTAACCTCAATCGATTGACATTTTATATCAGTTATTTATAAACACAATAAATTGCCGCATCCGTTTCTTTTTTCGTACATCGCGCATTAGAGACTAATGCGATAAAAGAGAGTTCTAATGGCTATAGAGGGACGCGCTCCGGAGTTACAGGGGATCGGGAGGGGTAGAGGGCGGTCGCTACTCATTTGCCAAATTGTCCGGGATTATAGAATTTTTTTTTATCGGGAGTCTCGTATGCAGCGAGCTAATGCGCCTTTATTGCGCTGACCGAGGACTGTGGAGGGATTTTGACGAGTGCCAGCTACAGATAAGTTATCTCTTATACGACGCCAATGTTTACGCTGCGACGTTGATATGAAACTCAACCGCGAGTCCCTAAATGTGCTCGTTATTCGGCAGACAGAATGTTCTAGTGTTGTGATAAGTTTTTAACTGTTATGACTGATATTGGATCATTACAGAGGTCGCATTTTAATTTGTATTATTAAAACCGACTATCGTAATGGGTCTAACAATGAGAATGAGAGTGATAATAAATTATTTAAGTTAAATACATATAGCTTGTATCTCGGTAGGTCGATTACGGACTCTTAAATAACTTGCTTAGGTGAATGTCTATTCGGGTCGAACGTATTCACATCCCTTATTAGTATCCCTTATTAGTTTAAAACTGTATTTTAATTGTATATGTTTTATACTATAGTCAAGCTTTAGTAAACGATTCATAAATAACTGAATAAAAATAAATATTTCCTTTGAATAAAACGTTTACTTCGCGTATGAGTCAACTTTTACTATACTATAGTTTCGTATTTATTCATATCTGCAAGTGTACAAGTTCATTTTATGCTAATTTTGTTAGACGCATATCGACATGTTTCTTTTTTAATTTAACGAACCCCGCAAGGCGCAGGTTGAAATCGACACAGGGGCAAAAAACGTTACGTCCATTTTTCTACAAAGTTTAAAATTTCATATTAAGGGCAGAGATTAACATAAAAACCGGCCAAGTGCGAGTCGGACTCGCGCACGATGGGGTCTATACCATTATCTATAAAAACTGCAAAAAAATCATGTCCGTTGTATGAGAGCCCCACTCTACCCTTAAAATATCCTTTTATTAATATCCTTTAAATATATAAATATTAACATAAATATACATAAGAAAAGCAAATCGTCGTAGTGTTTTAATAAGCTCGACAAAATGTGGATAAAAAGAGAGATTCTTTTTGTTTTTTCTAAAATATCGCAGTATACTCATACTGTTCATCTCTACAACTGCGCAATATTCAATTATTGCGTATGAACACCGTTACTTTATCACCCTTCTGAGAGTTGCAAGTGGTTCGCTGCTTGTTAACCGAATCATTCCTTGGCATTTTCCCTATCGTCCCTTGACCATTAACGCCGAGGGTAAGATAAATCAACACTCGGTACTGCAATTAACAATTGCATTAGTGTCAACTGCACGTTTGATCGCACCGTATGGGACGGAATTGGGGGAACAGTTTTTGTTGCATTAGAATTACCTTAGTTCAGACAGCAAGATTAGAATAATACTACAATTCGACAATTCTTTAGACAAGTTATTTATTATCGGACACCTCAAGCATTCAATCTTTCGTATGTGTTCTTTTGGCAAAGCCATAACCATAAAGTAAAGTTTTTTTATGTGAGAAGGTGACAAGTGAGCTGACGGTTCACCTGATGTTAAGTGATAACCGCCGCCCATTGACATTTGCTACTCCCGTCAGGTATCAGATACGTTACAACCTTTTAATAAAGTGGGCTCTGCCACCTCACTCACCAGATGAGACGCGGAAGTGTAACACTTTCACGCCGGTATTCTGTGGCATTTTCCGGTCGTGGTATTTTCCATGAGTTTTTCATTTCCATTGCGATGGTAGCCCATGCAGCAGCGTCGGCTGTTGCACGAATGGGCAGGTCCGTCCGGGTAAGTACCACGACCTCACAGAAGACCAGCGTAAAGTGGAACTATGACAAATACTTTCGCGTTTCGTTTGGTGAGTGAGGTAGTCGGAGCCCAATTTTCAAAAGGTTATCAAAGCATCTATAACCTCCGGGTGCAGAGATGGGTGGCGGTATTCACTTAACATCAGGTGAACCGTCTGCTCGTTTGGCAACTTTTAACATAAAATAAAACCGTTCATCTGTGGGGTCGTTTTTTTTTTTCAATGGCAGCGATATCAATATAACATCTGGCCTGCTTTTCGCCACCTCCATCCACGAAAGAATATCGCAATCAAAAATCGCAAGAAATTTTTGCACAGGAATATATGTATGTATGTATGTGGGTTTAATAACGCCGTAAGCATTTTCGCTCGCTTGAGTAATCGCCCGTACTCTATGCCTGCGCGATAAGATCCGAAAAAGGTTTAAGGTTCTTATAGTAAGTTACATCGAGTAAAATCCATTATATCCATTTACTTTATATATACTTAACAATAAGAGCGTAGCACCATGTAGCTTTACCTCTAAATTCGTTGAATTTATTTTGATTGGGTTATTATATTACTTATTTTGAGAAATGTATGGGCTGATTATTAAAATATTATCAATATGTTTACATTCAATTTGTAACAACCGATGGATAGTGGATTCTCCTCCTTCAAAATAGAATTCATTACTGGTGTAATGATATCAAGAATACAGGTATTTGCAAATAATAATGTCTCTTATTATTATAAAGCATGATCTTCCAAATCATTTGCAATGAAACAAGGCAACAGATTTTTTTAAATCACTTTTTCTAAATATATATCTTTAAAACATTTCGTCTTTATAAATACTTTATTTTTTTAACAATGTCTTAGTTTCATTAGTAAGACGGATGTATAAATAATGAAAAGAATATCAAATAAATAATAAAATCATTCTGACGTTCTTTCAATATTATGATAACCAACAACTCTCTATATCCGATATATTG